GTTGAATCTTTTGTTTTCTTGATTTCTTCTATAGGTCTTTATAAAGAGTTCAGAGCCATGAGGTCAGGAACCATGATTGCCTTCCTTCTGCATCCCCAACATCCGAGATAATAATGTCCACAGAGCACTAGCTTTACTAGCAATTTGTTGCATTAGTGGATTGATGAACAAGAGCTATCTAAGTCAGCTGGTTTGATTTCAACCAAGAAATTTCTCCATTTGCCTTGAGATTCAGCCTCACAGGACTTGATCATTCTAAGGACCAGAAGGCTAGGAAAAATTACCTACATGGCTTGACATGAAACAGAAAGAGCTATAAAACTCAGCCACAATGATTTATTAATGTTCTAAACTGTAATGTATAACTCTGGTACAAGTGTTTAATCTTCCTAAATGTAAATATTTTGTTTTCACTTAATTATTACACTTGATTGATGCATCTTCTTATATTCTAAGTGGCGGAGAGACCGTGAGAATGTTGAAGACTGACCGTTGAGTAAGAATGCTGATGGCAGTAGAAGAGGGAGCAATACTGCCATATCTGGTGTTTAAAGGGAAACGTCGTATTTAATTCCTGGGGAAGCAACCAGTCAGAGATGAGGAGAAAACTCTTTGGAAGTTCTTCAGTTTGCTTTTTCCTTAGTGAAGCTCAAATTTTATCATAGTAGATAAGGACTTCTGATGATTTGTGCAGTGTGAGTATGTTACAAATGATACATTACTATATGGAGAGGGGCACACACATTTTTAAACAGGTCATAATGTAATAGCATTTTCTAAAGAAATGGTTCTCGAAAAGGAAAGCGTTTGCAGTTTGCTAAGTAAACCATAGTGTCTTCCCTGAGGATATCCAAGAAGAGGAGGGAGAGAAAGAGAGAAAGAAATGACCCAGTAAAGAATCCTTGTAAATATGCTAATTGTACCTCCTGATGGTTTTTACTAGCAGAAAGATAATGAGACTCTTTTCTGTGGCATCCTTTTTGCAGGATATGTCTAGTCTGCGTAGGTTGCTTCCAGCAACCTAGTGAATGAGGAACTCGTGGGTTTGTGGGATGTGGCCCAGTGGAAGATGTTAGGTCAACGGTATAGTTACGGAAGAAACAAAGCAAGTTGTTTCGTAACCACAATACTTCCTTGTGGAAGCGATGGCCTACGTGCATCACTTAGAAACCTCACACATTAAATCCAGACCAGGCCACATCCTCGTGTGGCACAGGATGTGAGGAGCTGCACTAGCGATCTCAGATATTTTTGTGAATTGCCTTTTTGTTTTTTTTTTTTGAGACGGAGTCTCATTCTGTCACCAGGCTGGAGTGCAGTGGCGCAATCTTGGCTCACTGCAACCTCCGACCCCCTGGTTCAAGCGATTCTCCTGCCTCAGCCTCCTGAATAGCTGGGACGACAGGCATGTGCCACCATGCCCAGCTGATTTTTGTATTTTTTTAGTAGAGACAGGGTTTCACCATGTTGGCCAGGATGGTCTCAATCTCTTGACCTCGTGATCTGCCCACCTGAGCCTCCCAAAGTGCTGGAATTACAGGCGTGAGCCACCACGCCTTGCCTGTGAATTTCATTTATTGCCACCTGCATCTTTTGAATTATTAGCAAAGCTGGACACTTGGTAAGATCTCTTTGTGAGTCTGATTTGGCAGTCTGGCTCTTTGTGTTGTCTGAGCTCTGAAAATGATTTTAAATGAATTAATAGGCATTTTTCCGGATAAGACATAGATTTTGGTAGAAAGTAAATGTAATATTTCCTCCACAAGGTAAACTGTAAGTACTCATTGCAAGGAGCATTGGGACATCAGTAATTCCCTTGTTTTATTCAAAATGTCTAAAGTTTCTCTCATTAAAAAATGTACTCAGAGAAACTGTCTTATGGGATTCAAGTTGAGTTATCAAGACAAACAGGGTGCAGAAACGAAGGGAATTTAAAATGAGTTGCTATTTTTACATTGAACATAATTTCTTTTTATAAAATAATTTTATGTCTATTAGTAACAAGCTGGATCTAATCAGATAGGAAGGTTTATGTATGGGAGGAGAGACTGAATTGTCCTTAGGAATAGTAAGTGGGTGTAAATGTCAAAGAAAAACAATAATAATTTATACTTTCTCTTTAAGCCTTCATGAACAGCTTATTATATAAAAAGCAATACATAAGGTAATAAAATATACCTTACTACCTTGAGAGATTGAACTGGAAACTAAGAAGAATTTCTTTCTAGAAGGAAATTTAAAGAAAAAGGATAGCATTGTTCTTCAGAATAACTTGAATCAAATGCCCATGGCTGCTAGAAGTAAATTTTTACTTATTTATTTACGTACTTATTTTTTGAGACAGGGTCTCACTCTGCTACCCAGACTGGAGTACAGTGGTGCGATCTCGGCTCACTGCAATCTCTGCCTCCTGGGCTCAAGTGATCCTTTCACCTCAGCACCCTAAGTAGCTGGGACCACAGGTGTACACCACCATGCCCAGATAATTTTTGTATTTTCATTTTTTGGAGAGATGGGGTTTCACAATGTTGCCCAGGCTGGTCTCCAGCTCGTGAGCTCAAACTATCTGCCTGCCTCAGCCTCCCAAAGTGCTGTGATATTATAGTCCTGAGCCACCATGTCCAGCCATAAGGATATTTAACCAACTTACTGAAAAGCACATTCAAGGATCCTTACTATGTCATCTCCCTCTAACCCAACTCTCCCAGCTGAACTAGCTCTGGCCAGGATATTTGGCTCTTGCTTGATGTTCAGGGCATCAGAAACTAAACTAGAGCTTAGAGGAGAGAAAGCAGTAGGAATGCCCTCTCCTTGCCTGGCATGAAACCTGCCACGAACTTCTTGGCACTAAAGAAAAGAGAGTAACATTATCAGTAATCTTTTCAGAGATAAATTTTCAGTGAGATAAGTAAAATAGTGATCAGACATCCCAATTTTTCAAGAAATACACTTTTAGCTGATGTTAGGAGAATTACATTTCATTACAACTATATTGTGCCTTTGTTTCAATTTTGTAATTAAATCACTGAATCTTCACAGCGAGGTGTTTCCTGAAATCTTATGCAGAAGAATTTTGCTTCTTGTATATGTTTGATTCATTTTCTGTTTTACTTGTCATATTCTAAGAGATTATGAAAGACATATATAAATTCTCTTTTTTCTTTAATTACAGTTTTTCTCTTTCCTAATTATTTGAAGCAAATATACCTTTCTAGAGTTACAGGTTTTTCAGTGAACCTTCCTAATAAAGTGCTACATATGTACTTCAAGAATAGATAGCTAAAGACAATAATCATTTTTTATCTATTTAATCAAGATGGCAACTCACTGTCTTGTTTCTTATCAAAGAATTGCATTTGCCATATGTTCATAACTTGGCTTTTGATTGTTTACAATATGTGACTGAACTTAGCTCTTAGTCCATCAGGTATAATTATTAAGATCCAGGCTAAGATTTTTATCTGAAGCTCTAAGGAAAATAATTATGGAAGAGAGCCAGTTAAGAGAAAAATAAGAGTAGAAAATTTAAATTTGATTCCATTCAAAGAAAGAACAAAAACTATAATGCATGATTATCTTGTGCCAAGTTAGTTTTCTGTTTTATTTGCATGGAGGGAGGTCAAAATTAAGGTGCAAGTCAGACCTACAAGACTTCAAGTGAATCCTCCTATGACAGGCCATGAAACACTCATAGGTCTGAAATGACTTGGAAGAGCTACAGAGAAGGCTTTGGAACTCTAAACAACATCAGCATGCAGATTTCCTTCTGCCTGGAATTTTGTTTCTTTGAATACTTTAAGGAAATGACTTATTCAGAAAAAAAGCATTTTTTAAAATGGAAGAAAATAGTAACAAAGGAAGACAAAAATAGTGCAATCTCTCAGAAAATATCAGTCCAGCAAAAAGTTAGGAGTGGAAGAACAAAGAACTATTTAGGCAGAGGATTGCTGCCTGCCTGTCCCAAAGCAGGTACCATAATTACAAGTCCCTTGGCAGTCAGTTTGCAGCAGGTAAGCGGAAGGTATCCTCGTGTCCCCTTGCTTGTGTCCATTCTAAAATATTAAAAACAGGTAGGGTGACATCATTCCATAGGTCTCTAAGTTAATTTGTACATTTTTTCAGAAGTTATTCAACCAGGGGTTTAATAACTTGTTTTCATGCCACAACTATCTGACTGTTTAAATAATCATCTTCCTCCAAGTCTAACAGACAGGCTCATTTAAATATTCCGGAACTGTAATATTCTCTAGTTAACTCTGATGAAGACACTAAAGGAAGGATGCCAAAGAGACTTGGATCCAGAATACAATTCTGATGAAGAGCTTATTTCTTTGGAGCAATAAAAACTCGAGATTTGATGGAATTTTCCTGAAAAGTTAATTTCTAGAAAATGGTTTCCTGCCTATAGTTATAATACTGATGTTTTAGAGAAGGGAGTTCCTTCTAGAAGCATCTTTCATTTTTTTTGATATTGAAAGAACTTTGGATTATTCAAAAGAGTATTTTTTTCTTAAAAGTTGCCCTTCAGGATTACTTTTTAATAGTGATTAATTCACTTACTTCTCACCATTTTTCAGTGTCCTTAGACCATGATTAACTTTGACACTGTAACAAAACATCAGCTCTCCTAGTCCTTGTCATGCAAGAATATCGGCTGCACAGTGACAAGTGACTTTCTGCTACTTTCTGTGTGACTTTAGTCAAGACTCTTATGCAAATGCAATCATTGATACATTGCTGTTAACTGGTTATTACATTGCAAATACCAAATAGTAACCCTACAAGATTGCTATCACTTCTTTATTGAAAGTTTTTCCTTTATTAATGGGAAAAATGTATTTGTTAGCATGGGTAAAACTACCAAAAGAATTCCATATGCTTAGTCAGGATTGCCTTTTATCAAGCTTGATATTTTAGAAATATCAGCAAGCACACCTGTATCTGAAAATTATATTTCAAAACAAAATTCTTGATCTAGAGAACAACCACGTTTGAAATAGGATTTCACTTTTGGGTGTCATTTTTATGAAGTTAATATTGTCCCAGGTAATACCATGCTGTCAGAGGCTGTGTTTACTTAGCTGTCCCCAAAACAGTAGAGAAGTTAAAAAGAAAAAAAAAATACTGTGAAATGAGTCTCCAGTGACTAACAAGTCTCCTTCCAGAGAATGAATTATAAAACTTCATCAAGTCCACCAAATCTGCTTCCCGCAAACTCTATATATAAGCCACTCTAACCAGGACTTGTGACATAATTTGCAGGGTCAAGTGAAAAATGAAAATGTGAAGCTCTTTGTTTAAAAAGTTTTAGAAATTTCAAGATGGTAACAGCACATCACTAAAGCAATTGTGGAATCTTCCTAAGCACAGAAACCAGTGCAGACTGGTTGGCCACGGAGCTGGCCCTGGTTTTAACTGTAATACTACTGTTTGCTATTATTATTATTAATTATTTTGAAACAGGCTCCCTCTCTGTCTCTCTCTGTCACCCAGGTTGGAGTGCAGTGGTGCCATCTTGGCTCTCTGCAACCTCTGTCTACAGGGTTCAAGCTATTCTCCTGCCTCTGCCTGCCAAGTAGCTGAGACTACAGGCGTGTGCAGCCACGCCCAGCTAACTTTTGTATTTTTTAGTAGGGATGGGTTTCACCATATTAGGCGGGCTGGTCTCAAACTCCTGGCTTCAAGCGATCCGCCCGCTCAGCCTCCCAAAGTTCTGGGTTTACAGGTGTGAGCCACTGCGCCTGGCTGCTATTAAATTAATGCTGGTGGATCTTTTGAAAACAAAACCAAACGCTAACAGTAAGCATTTGAAATGTGGCAAATTATTTAGGAATATGCCTTTTTGTTTTTGTTCTTCAAATCTACCTCATGTCTGACACACCTACGGAGATGAAGCCTAGGAAGATCAGTGCCTCAAGTCACTATACTAACGTCTCCCTGACACTTCTCATCACTCATAAATGTAAGCTATCACCATCCAGTCAATCAGGGTTAATTAATTTTTCTGCCTGAGGTCACAACTCCCCCATACTTCTCATTTTTCATCCCATTGACTCCATGCATAGGCATCTATTTAGAGTTTACAACCTTGAATTTTATGTAAAGATCTCAGGGAACACATAAATGGATAGATGATTGTAATTGATGTTAACTTATTACCTTTTGTTGTCTTTCTGTGTTTATGCCTAAACAATATTTTGATTTTTTAAACTTTATTATGAAAATTTCGGGGCCGGGCGCGGTGGCTTAAGCCTGTAATCCCAGCACTTTGGGAGGCCGAGGCGGGTGGATCACGAGGTCAAGAGATCGAGACCATCCTGGTCAACACGGTGAAACTCCATCTCTACTAAAAATACAAAAAATTAGCTGGGCATGGTGGCGCGTGCCTGTAATCCCAGCTACTGAGGAGGCTGAGGCAGGAGAATTGCCTG